CTTTAGTGCACAATATAATACTGTCATTTATCTAGTTATTTGCTTTAAAAAAAAACAATCTGTGGTTAGACACCGTATTTTAATTTCTGTTCTACTCCATGCATAATGAATCTCATGTGTTGTCATCATACATCAAAAATGATTGTGATATTGTCTTTTCTGTCAATAATTTACCTTCAATTCAATCAAATACACATATACACACACATGTAATGTGTAATTAATTACTGTAATTGATTTACCCCATAACATTTATTCATTGAAGAAACTTTCTATCATGCGCTCTTGTCAGGGAATGCCAAATGTTGATTCACCATTGTGTGTGTGTGTACGGGTATGCATATGTGATAATTAATAAGATTTCATAAGGCAGATATATAATCGATCTTTCACATATTTTTATGCTTTGACGAATATATACATGGAAACTCTAATCATTATTCGCTTAGATATTCATTTTAACGGTGATAAGTGAAGAAAATCTATCGGGTAGATGAATATTAGGTGACGACGATAATCAATAATTTAATACTATATTGTCTGTTTAGAAAAAAATGAAGATCATAACTGGGTAAAACACACATTAAGTTCATATGTTTTACGCATTATACAAGAAAGGAATGAAGTATTTGGTATAGTCCAGGAAGTAGTTAGGTAAATGATACCCTCCCCCAGTTAAGTGTATTTGTTAACCCTGATTCATTGATTTACAGGTTATACTAGTCATTATTTACAGTAGTAAGAAGAACTAATTTCAGACTGATTCTCTTGGTAGAATAATATCAATTCAAGATAAATACCACAGTAGTAAAATTGATCAGAATAACAGTGGTGGTTGCTCCACATTGATTTAGTAGTGTAATATGGGAACGTGGACCGATTATGCACACTTATGCAAGGTGTCATACTAATTACAACTGATTATGTGAGAATTAGTAATACTACTTGACTGGCAAAATTAAAGCCAGCTCTGTGTGGGATTCGAACCCGTGACTTAGTGACTAAAATTTAAACAACTTAACACCTACTAGTATTTGACCACATATGCCTTAGAAATATTGCTGGCATCTGCTGGGATCACCGGGTAAGTAATAGTGAGGTTAGACGCAGGGTATTAGGTAATGATGGTAAATCAGTTGATGAGGTTGTGAATCTTCATCGACTGAGATGGTTGGGCCACGTGTTACGTATGCCTGAACACCGATTACCACGACGTGCAATGCTAACCGGGGTAGGGGATGGTTGGAAGAAAGTTAGGGGCGGCCAAACCAAAACGTGGCATCAGTGCTTGAAGTCACTAACTTCTAGTCTGAGCCATGTTGGTAGATGCAGACTACTTGGTTGGGGTCCGCGTGACTTTCGTAACCAATGGTTGGAGACTCTTGGTGACATGGCTCAGAATCGATCACAATGGCGTCGGTGTATACACTCCCTGTCTTCCCTTAAACTAAGAGACTAAAATCACTTCATTCTTTCTGTCTACGAACTAATTCTTTCTTCCTATACTATATCCTTATTGCAACCTTTGACCTAACCACTCCTATGAATCCGCTGTTCATCTTGCTGTGCTAATGAGGTATGGCAACCTGGACCGATGCACATATGTGCCTGGTCCTACGTTGTAGCTGACTGACTGACTGACTGATGAGCCAACTTTAAAATTTAAAGTCAAAAGGAAAACAGTTGATGAGTACATTTGCATCACTACAGACGATTACGAGGCATACAACTCAACGACTTCAACTAGGAGGTTCGTACTACTTAACACAGTTTAGTCCAACTTCTAGCTTTCTTTCAGCCTACTCCTAAACTAGAAAACATCGAGCATCGAGGCAAGCGGACGATTGGTCGAAGTAACACACGTCCCAACTACCTTAGTTGATGAAGATTCATTACTTATTCAACTGAATTGTCATTTTTAGCTAGTAGATTGAGCCTAAAATCAGCATCTGTATTGACTTAAGTCAACTAGACTAACAGTTAAATTGTATACAACTTGATCGACAGAATCCGATCATCACCAAGGAATAGACAATCATAACATAGGTAATTACTCAGTAATCAATTCATCTATCATTGGAATTGGTTTATTGATTTGCCGAGATTTATTCGTTATGTAACAAGTTAAGCAGAAGGAGTGTAACAATTTCTACATCGTGAAAATGATTGAAAAAAATCATCTTCGTGAAGCAAGTTGTTATTATTATTATTATTATTATTATTATTATTACTAACGGCTTCACTCGTTCAGTCAGCTACAACGTAGGACCAGGCACATATATGCATCGGCTCAAGTTTCCATGCCTCTTTAGCACAGCAAGATGAGCACCGGGTTCATAGAAGTGGTTAATTCAGTGGTGGTAATATATAAAAGGAAGATTCCATATAAGGATATAGTACAGGAAGAAAGAATTAGTTCGTAGAAAGAAAGATATGAAGTGATTTTAATCTCATCGTTTAAGGGAAGACAGAGAGTGTATACACCGACGCCATTGTGATCGATTCTGAGCCATGTCACCAAGAGTCTCCAACCATTGGTTACGATAGTTGCACGGACTCCAACCAAGTAATCTGCATCTACCGACATGGATCAGACTAGAAGTTAGTGACTTCAAGCACTGATGCCACGTTTTGGCTTGGTCGCCTCCAACTTTCTTCCAACCATCCCTACACTAGTCAGCATTGTGCGTCGTGGCAATCAGTGTTCAGGCATACGCAACACATGGCCCAACCATCTCAGTCGATGAAGATTCACAACCTCATCAACTGATTTACCATCATTACCTAATACCCTGCGTCTAACCTCACTATTACTTACCCGGTAATCCCAGCAGATGCCAGCAATATTTCTAAGGCATATGTGGTCAAATATTAGTAGCTTACGAATGTCTTCTACTCTTAATGGCCATGTTTCGCTGCCGTAAATCAAAACAGAACGGACTGCCGCGCATTCACTTTTCATACATTTCAGATTAAATGGAAGTAATAAGACATTTTCAGACCGCAAGCATAATAATAAACAAATTATTTACGTATAGAACATAGTCACAAAAGCTTTTAAAATATGAATTAAAAGGATTCGATTATAGAATGCATAAGTAAGCGATTAGAAAGAACTTTATGTGGTTGGAGTTAATTAGTGAGAAATTATGATGGATTAAGTTTTATGATAATTAACACTTATCAAAAAATGTATATTTCTTTATTTCGGGTAACAATCAACCTTCTGTAGGACTGAGATTTTTGGGAAGATTGATCATTAAGTGATAAATAATAGCAACTGATCACATTCAGTCAGTCAGTTGCAAAGTAAAACCTGGTACGTACGTACGTCTATCAGTTCAAGTTACCTTTGGATCTTAAGTTGCTGCTTCTAGTCTTACCATTATCCAACCGATCTGCCTAGCGCGGTAGAACTTGAAAATTACATGCATTTCGGCTTATATAGATCGTTTGAGTAATTATGACAGGCAAGCCAGACCACCACTTCAAGGTAGCAGCTATGATCGTGATTGACCACACCGCAATTTGATCGATAGAATTTAATTAACACTAAGGAGCAAACAAACGTACACAGGCTATTACTTTATTTACTAATTAATCAATATAGTGAGATAGTACTCATGGAAAAGTAAAGTATATTTCAGACAAAATATTACATTACTGGTAACCATAAATCAAGACCGGATGAATTATTGAGGTATTGAACTCTCTGTTAGTCAGTATTAGGTCCGAACTGCACAACTATGTCTAATTGCAAGCATACAGACACCTATACTTGGTTATTGAATTACATCAACACCAGTATATTCATTAAGTAACCAAGCCGGTGTATGATTTTAAACATGGTGACTTTGAGTGTCACTAAAGGTATGAAGGCGGTGATTGTTATATCCGAGCGAAGATTAAATCACGAGTAACTTATGAGACCTATTAATTGACTAATATTATCTATACATTCTTATGGTATAATTACTCAATAATTAGATTATGTTTATTTATATTTCTCTTATTATAAGCTTTATTTAGACTTATAATTTATTATTGTACGATTTACTGTTCTTAAGTTATGTTCAGTTTATTGACTACTGCCTCCCACGTTCACAGCCGCCTTTTGGCTTTATTGTGTACAAATGTTATTTTCTATTTTATGATGCGTTGCGGTTTGTTTGGTTGATATATAAACCCAATATGTCTGAAATAAATGATTCGATTCGATTCGCATATTGGAAGCTGGTTTCTGGTGTTCTGGACTCAAGTGGACGAACTAGGCGAACATAGGACCAATAAGGACGCTAGACTGCCCATACCGGTCGAACGTCATAGGTTTGGCACAGTTCGAAGATTGTATAAGTCGTATTTTGATTGGAGGATAAATCACGTGATAAAAAGCCGGACATAAAGTCATAACAGTGATCATTTTTTCTTGAGTTGCTTCTAAAAAAACGTTAGATTACAGAGAAGAATTACAATGGACAATGTAACCCCAGTGGTCAAGAGATAACTGCTTGAAACTGGCCATATAATTTACGTGATAGTTAACTCATACACAAACACAATAAAAGAGTCCCAGAGTGAATATCAACTTCACTTGGAGATGAAAATATATCCAGCTAAGGATGAAATACCTCACCTAGCCAAACTATCCTACTTTTTTTAAAATAAATAAATAAATAATATCAGAATGGGTTTTGTGGAGATTTTTAGAAATTTCACTGATTGAAATCATGATTCAATGGAAGCTAGACCACTATGGGAAACCTGGAAGCACTGGACGGCCGTTTCGTCCTAGTATGGGACTCCTCAGCAGTGCGCATCCACGATCACGCCCCCCCCGCGAGATTCCAACCCAATACCTATCAGTCTCGCGCACTTGTGAGGAGTCCCATACTAGGACGAAACGGCCATCCAGTACTTCCAGGTTTCCCATGGTGGTCTAGCTTCAATTGACTCATGATTTCAACCAGTGAAATAAAAAATACGAATGCAAATACACTTACCTACATAACCACAGAATAGCCATATAAACTGAATTATTATTTTCTTGAATAGATTCTTTATGTTTCACTTCATATCGTAAAAGATAACCTAAGCTGAGTTGAGCTTTTTTAAATAAAATATTACAATGATTGTTTACATTTGTATCATGATGATTCTGTTTACTGTCCATTGATAAGTTTTCATCTGTTCCACCGATAACAGTAGTATTCATATCAGTAGTATGATTATGATGATCATTAATAATATTTGTTGTGGAAGTATGCATTTCAACATGAAATTCAATACAATTTAAATAAGTTAATAAACGATGACGAATTTGTTGTAATGCAATAAAAGTACGTGAAGTAGTTGATAATGTACAATTAGTTTGATTAGTATTATTATTTAATCGATCAAGAAAATGCAATAAACATTTAGATGCTTTAACAAATTCTAATGCTGATAAATAATCACCAGGTAGTTTTATTTCATCATCATTATCTGGAATTGGTTGAATAGGTATAGATGGTTTAATCTCTTCAAAACTGTCAATTGCAATACAAGAAAATAATATTAAGATATGTAGATATATATATTATGAAGTAGTGAAAAACACAATTTATTATTATTACAGGATGAGGGGGGTTTGAAGATGTTGTTGAATTTCATCGTTCCCCATCACCAAGTGACCTTAGTCAGACAACCATTGAAAATTAGCGACGCAGCAGCTGGAAATCACAGTCTTACCCCTATAAGAAAACCCAAGGATCTATAAAACTATATACTGATAATTATTATGTGGATATTAGTCATCAGATTCGAGAAGGAAATCCAGGTATTCTAGTGTCGGGTGACAGACAGTTACCTAAAGAAGGTATTGGAAGAAGGTGAATTTATTGGTTAGACAAAAACACCGTAGGATTCCGGCTGTTAGGTCCCGATAAACATAATGAATGGTAACTTTAGAATCCTTTTATGAACCAATACCAAACGTATATTTTTATCATATAATTGTTAAATAACTAAACTATTCATATTCATATTCCTCTTATTATAAACTTTATTTTGACCTATGAACTATTATTATACGTTTTACCATTATTGAATTATGCTCTGTCTATTAGTCACTGCCTCCCACGTTCATAGCCACATTTGGCCAAATTTTATGCTATGTTGTGGTCTGTTTGATTGGTATATAAACTCAGTATGTTTGAAATATAGGGATTCATATTACAGAGGCTGAGACTGGTGTTCTGGACTTAACTGGCTGGGCTAGGCGGAAAGCAGGACCAATCAGAAATCTAGGCTGCTCACACGTGTTTACGCATCCTTGGTCCGATTGATCATTCGCTTCTCCCTAGTTGACGGTCGCAAGATATAACACCGGCTCAGTGGTTTGGAGGTCAAGTGTTCTTGCAAGAGACCTAAGATCCTGGGTTCAGTCGCCACGTGAGGGTAGTAGATACGTTCTGCTGAGGAGTCCCATACTGGAGTGAAACGGTAATACAGTGCTTCCACGTTTTCAATGTTGGTCTGACATTGGTTTCAATGAGATTGGGTTCACCATTTAAATGACACATATGTCGTTATCAAAAGGAGTCCGCTGGAAAGCACCGACAATTTGACCAACAACGTATTTGATGAAATAAAATTCACATTATAAATAGATTCAGCCGACAAACTACCATTTTTGGACATACGGATCACCAGAAACAATAGTGAAACTTGAAACTCAAGTATATAAGAAGCTAACGCATACCGACTAAATGTACAACTAAAATTTGGTACTCATCACAGACGTGTGACTGTAACCTTTAGTGGACTGTTGCTTCCTAACGGATCTCATCCTGTGTCAGCAAGATTCACAGTCAGAGAGGTTGTCACGGTGTAGCTAAACTGTGTTAAACAGGATTGAATCCTTCAGGATCCTTTAAGATCACAAGTACACCTTGTTGATGAATACCAAATAGCACAAAACCTAAATCCAAGGTTTGTTATCAATTGGCTCCAACTATTTAGCATCTCAAAATAATGCTAGACAAGTCGAGTTACTTGAAATAGTGGCCACACAGTAACTTGATCGATAGAATTTAACCAGCGCTAAAAAGGACTTGAAATACATGACATTGGTCACTACTCTGTGATCTATCAATTGTACGTAAATTAAATTATAATTATCAATAACAGACTAGTTTTTAATAGTGAAATATCGACTTACCTATATTCTAAAGTAGAGAAAAAAGTTTGATATTTTCGTGTAGCATTGAAGTGACGGCGATTCAATGAGGATTGTGCATGTGAATTTCGAAAGATAGGATCATTCGTCAATGAAGAACAAAGATTATTACTAAAGATGAAATGTAGAAGTCATGAATGGATTGGTTATTAAATATAATACTTATTCATCATTACAATAAGCATCATTATTATAAATAATTATATTACTACTGCTAATACCAATCATTGTAATAAATGTTTGGTTGGTCAGTTAAGATGGTTTATTCTCCACCTTTCTCTTTCTTCTAATGGTCGACTGGATTATGAAGACCTCGACATCTGAGATGAAACACGGAATACAATATACAGCTTGCATTCAACTAGACGATTTGGACTTCGCAGATCACCTAGTCCTTCTATCTCATACACATGAACAAATGCAGATGAAGATAACTAGTGTAGCAACAGTCTTTGAGTCAGTAGATCTCAACATACACAAGGGAAAAGGTAACATCCTCAAATACAACACGAAGAACACCAACACAATCACACTTGATGGAAAAACTCTGGAACGGGTGGAAAGTTCCACGTATCTGGAAAGAATCATCGATGAACATGAAGCATCTGATTCAGTCGTAAATGCGAAGATTGGCAAATTAAGGACAACATTCCTACAGTTGAAGAACATATGGAACTCAAAACAACTATCGGTCAACCAACATCAAAGTCACAGTCTTCAATACGAACGTACAGTTCTACTGTACGGAGATGAAACTTGGAGCACTACTACAACCATCATCAATAAAGTACGAGTATTTCTAGACAATTGTCTATGTAAGATACTCAATGTTTGCTGACAGGATACCATCAGCAAAAACCTACTGTGGGAGAGAACGAACCAACTTCCATTTGAAGAGGAAATTAGGAAAGACGATGGCATTGGATAGGACACACATTGAAAAAATCCTCAAACTACATCACGAATCAATCGCTAACTTGGATTCGTGAAGGAAAACTGAAGAAAGGAAGGTCAAAGAACACATTGCACTGGGAATTGGAAGCACATATGAAAAGGATGAATAACAACTGAAAAGGATTGCCCGGGACAAAGTTGTATGGAGAATAGTGGTGGGTGTTCTAATCTCCTCAACGAGCAGTAACAGTATTATATTGTATTCTGTGAACCGAATAGATTATTCGATTGTGGAGTTTTCAATGCTATTCTCTGGAGAACATTATCATTGTTTACTTCATGTAGAAGTGAGCTTTTCATTCACTGTTCTACAAATGTTGTTTTAACTAGTTCTTCAATCTCGAAATTATATGTGTAAACCTATAAATACACCAGCTTCTTCCATGCACTAATTAATCTTTGGAATAAAGTTTCCTTCATAGTTCACATTTTTTATTTCCAATTAAAAGTTTGAAAGTTGAACAATTTCAGGAACTAGAAATTGATTAGAAAGTTCGTGGCTTAACACTCCAATACAAAACGTACCAGTTGTTTCATTTCAAATCCAACTGAATCTTACCAGTCACAGCTTATATATATATATGATTATCCTAAATCTTAACTGTAAGCATCAACTCTAAGCTCTACAACCCAATCATAACTCAAACCCCGATCCTACATCCTAAGCTCTAAATTCTAAATCTTAGTCTTAAATCTAAACTTAAATGTTTATTGATGCTTTCATTGTTAAAATTAATCATCACATTTCAACAAATAACATTCTACTTTAATAAAATACGCCTTAGTCTCGAAATATCTTGATCCTTCTTGATTATTGGCTCGACCTAATAATTCAGCTTTACCTAATCCTTTTAAACATGAGATCAAAAGATAAATGGAGTCAACTGTATAATTAATTAAACTTGCCTCATATTTGGTGAATGTATATTAGAAGGATCTGTATTGGTAAGACATGATGTATTTCGAAATATAGTAGGACTTGTCTCCAATGTTGTTCCTGTTACAATGGAACTTAACCATGGAGCTTGTGCATTACTTAAAATCATTAATTCATCCAACGTTATTAAGAATGTGGAGCAAGATGCGTTTAACATACCAGTTAATTCATCAATACGCTGATTAAAGCAAAACGAAAGTGGAAAATTAAATATCAGAAATTAGTTTCTACAATAACAAAACTGTTGGTGAATATATGGTTTAAATACCTGATTTATACATAGGACAAAGATTAGAACATTATAGGATGAAATATTGAACAGACAATAGTGCTTTCCCCCAGCCAACTTATCTATGTTCACAAATAGCCTGAACTATAAGCTCTTGGATCAGATCATTTCTATATGTGGTTATCAATTCATCGGCTCCTGTGGAGATGGGTATATAAGTCGTTTAGTGAGCATTTCATCCAAGATAATTGAAGATTATTATCTGATGTGATTGAAAAAAGACAACAATAAATCCAAAGGCAGCTTCATAATCGAACACCTGGTGAACACATGTCATCACATTAAAACGCATCCACAGTTTAAATTCATCAACAAGATGAATTGAAATAAAATTGATCTTTAATAAACTGAAGTCTAGTCTCTTTAACACAGCGGAACCTTTTGTTGTATATTTAGGGAAGCTAGAATTGTGTATTCAATCTGTTCTTCTACCGCATTTTAATCTTTAGTTTTCTAAAACTATTTAAATACCTAGTTTTCTTCTGTATTGACTATTTTTTTGCCTGTAACCGACTAATTTCTGTTGGACAAGTTCAAATCAATAAAGAATCTATGGAATTCTAGTATGTCTGCTTAATTGAAAAATTTAAACAAATGAATAGATTCAAGAATTGTAAATGAATTAGGAATTCAAAGAACATAACGCAGATAAGATTTTAGCAGCAACAACAACAAAAATTCAGTGACCAACATTCAAAAAATTTGTTGTATAAATCGATGTGTTAGATTAATTTGATACTCTCCAATACAGTTTAAGTACGAATGAATGAGGATTAATCAAGACACTGATATCATAAGAGTTGGAGACAAATAACTATATTTTTCTAAGAAAATAATACAATTTTACTACACGGCAAGACATTTTCATAAATATTTCATATAAACAATGATATTTCGTTAGGCTATGAAACATTAGTTTTCAAGCTCGAACTTAACTCTATTTACTTCCGGTTAAAAGTTCAACTTAAAACATGAACGTTCAGAGTACAGTTCCTGGCAAAAATATGGATGTATCAAATGTTACAACGAAAAAGTTGTCTAATCCTTCCTAATTTCCAACGAATCTCTAAAGACGATTTGGTTCACCAGTGTGCTTGGTACCTGTGTGGTTGCGCCACAGGATTGAGCTGTACTATTCAGATTGTAGCGTTAAAACCTATACGGTGTCTAGTTCTCCTGTGAAGTGGGATTGAGCTGTACTGTTTGGGTTGTCACGTGAAAGTCCGGATGGTGTTTGGTTCTTCTGAAAACCAATGTAATATTACCCTGGCCCATAAGGGTATATTATATAACTGTGAATAGCCCCCAAATGCCCTGGTATGGTCGAGAGTGAGGAGAGTCCGCTCTCCCTCTCCAAATGCTCTCACATGGCCACGCGTATATAGCCTCTGCCAGGGAAGTCATACTCATTGCCTTCTCACACCACGGGAGTGTTGTTTACGAAAATGAGAGGACGAAACGCGAATGTCCGGAGCTTTAACCGGATTTCAAACCAATGGTGCACATGGGCTCCAGTATCCTCAATAAACAAATGGCGTATGAACCAATCGTTGGTCACCGTCTTCCATGGGACTGCATCTCCTTACGATGCTCCACTGCCTTGTGGGTCAGACCTTTAAGTCAAAAACTCGGGGTGTGGCCCCCTAAGAGAACCACCTGTTTCGGTTTGGGTACCCGGGCAGTATCAGAGCCCACACACGTGTGGCGCATATATATTTGGTATTCTCTTGTACCAATATTTACGCGTTCAAATGAATGATAAATAAAATAAAAACGATTAGTTTGCTACTTAAACTATACAAGATAATCACTATTTGAAATAATTTCACATTTATCATTGAATAATAGTTTACTATTTGCTTTTTTTAATTATAACAAACATACCAAATATAAAATTTACTTGTCCAAATTCCAGTTAAAATATATTGACATTAAATAATTAGTAAATACATATTAGAGAATGTTGACTATCATTATACTACTTAAATATTAGTCTATAATGTGTTAATTACAACATAACATAGATCATGATAGATTCGATTTCATAGTTTTTTTTTTAATAATCATTGGGTTATTTGACAGTTCTTAAAATATAGTAACCATTGAGTGAATTGTTTTATGTCAGAGGGGTTTTATGAATATGATAGTAATTTCAATGGTTGAGATCCATGAGTCCATTGAAGCTAGACCATCATGGAAAACCTGGAAGTACTAAACGGCTGTTTCTTTCTATTGTGGAACTCCGCAGTAGTGCCCATTTTAGCTTGATACCTTTTCATAATGTACAGCCACAACTCTACATATAAAAGAACTTAAAATTTTAATGTATCATCACAGAGTATATGTAACCGTTAAATTAGTGAGTTGTAATTGACTGGTTTACACTTTTAGTTTAATATTTACTATTTCCAATAATTATGTACTCACTATTATATAACTACGACCTGAGTTACTCTGAACTAGTTCTAGTGAGAAGTCGTGAACTATGTAGTTGACTTAATCATGAATGAAACAGTTACTGATAAAAATTGTATGAAAATTAATGGTTGATAAACAGACAAAAAGAATCAAAACAATTATCCAGCAATACAGCTAAGAGTGTTACTTAAAATAACATAGCGTCAGATCCGGAGAATATTAGGCGCAACATAATGACAAAACCTAGTTTATTATTTGTTTTTTCATGATAATTAAAAGCTTAGATGACCCGTTGATATATTCTTTATTAATTGACACACTTAAAAAGGTACAGATTTATGTACTTGACTTCCAGCTCCACTCTACACGGGAGAGCTAATGATACTACTATTTGTTTGTCTAAACACAAGTGAATTAGGGTTCGAAGCTGTAAACTATTGGCTAAAAATTGATTGCCTTAACCTCTGAGCCACTGGCTAGTTTATAAAATAGTTACAGTTGATTCATACCTCTTTCAGAGTTTCTCCATCAAGTGTGATTGTGTTGGTGTTTTCCATGTTGTATTTAAGGATCTTGCTTTTTCCCTTGTGTATGTTGAGATGTACTGATGCAGAGACTGTTGCTACCCTGGTTGTCTTAACCTGCATTTGCTCGTGTTGGATAAAAGGACTAGGTTATATGCGAAATCCAAATCGTTTGGTTAAATGTAAGCTCGTCTATTCAAGAGTTCCTCAAAATATTCTACACATCTGTTACTCTGTCCTTGAATTTCAGTGATTGGCTTGTCTTCTTTGTCCTTGACCAGTCTTTCTGGTTTACTATATTTTCCTGCTAGTTTATTCGTTGTGTCATATAGCTATCTCATATCTCCTGCTCTTGAAGCTCTTCCACTTATTTCAGCTAGTCAGCTCTAATGCTCCTCTTTACTTGCTTGTTTAATTCTGTATATTCAACTTGTGCCTTGACTTTCTCTGCTCTTGTTCGGCTGTTGTTAATTGCTGTCTTTTTGTTTTTCTTTCCTTTCTTGAATCTTGTCCAGATTTTCCATAGAGATTCATTCCTTATGATGATGCTTCTTGCGGCCCAGCACCTTCTGAAACTTTTAAGTTAGTGCTTTTTTGATCCGTTTCCAGTTGTCCCTCAACGCAGTTTCTTCTTTCAGTAGAATCTCTAAGGCTTGGAACCTGTTGTTGAGAGTTATCTTGAATTCGATGAGCTTATCAGTATATCGAAGGAAGGCTGCATTGAACCTATGTAATACTGTTTCCCCAGCTGTCCAGTGCTTTTTTAGCTTCAGTTTCATCTTGAAAACCATCAGAAGGTGATCTGAGGCTATGTTAGCTCCTTTCCTGGTTCTCACACTTTCCATTGACCTTGTGAAGTTTTTACTGGTGCAAATACGACCCATCTGGTTCTCCGTGGAGTGGCTGGTGAAATCCACGTAACTTTGTGTATGCGTTTGTATGGGAATATTGTGCCACCTGTAACCAACTTGTTGAATGTACACAGATTTGCAAATCTCTCTCCATCCTCGTTCCTTTCTCCTAGTCCATGTCGCCTCATGATACCATCATATCCGGTGTTGTCCATTCCGACTTCGGCGCTTAGATCTCCCATCCGGATTGTCAAATCCTTTCCAGGGCACTTCGCTATGATGAATTGCAGCTTCTCGAACTGATATTCATCGCTGTCGTTGCTGTTATTAGTGAGTACATAACATTGGACAAAATTCATCGTCATTCCCTCCTTTGTTTTGAAGATCCTAAATTCGTGAGATTCACATCCTGTAAGTGCATTTCGTGCACCTTTGAACATCTGAGCAACTCCCTGAGTGTGCGGAGCATTTTCCTCTTTCCAGCATCTCCCCGTACCTAACCTTCGCTGTCCAGCTTCGGTCCAATAGGTTTCGCCGATTTCGAGTTACGCCAACTTGTCTCATCATTTCCGTTTCTGATTGAGATCATGAACCGATTGATGTTAGACCACCGACATCCGTTTCTATTTGGCTGGTCCTTATATTCCATGTATCTACAAAATCTGTTGCTCTGGTTGTTAGAATGGATATATATATATATATATATATATATATATATATATATATATATATATATATATATATATATATATATATATATATATAATAGTCCATAAATTAGTCTTGATAGTTACCATACCTTTAGTCTTCGTCCGAATATAACAAAAACAATATGAAATTCATTTTGTAAATTCACTGGCGTAAAAGTTCACTCATCGCTTTTCCCTCCCCTAACTCTTAGTACAAATATTAGTATTTTCCCCCCAACTTTTATTTCTGCTTACGTGAATCTATCGGTCAACCTCATATTAAAGTTAAAATGACAAATTATAATACTGACAGAAGCCTTATATCCCCATTTATTTTTAAACTTTTCCACTTTTCTTATACGTAACCAAACATACGAACAACTTTTCTACAAATTATTTGATATATA